GATGGGCCAAAAGGTCTCTTCTGTATTGTATGATCCTATGAACTGTATCACCTGAAACTTAGTTGTTTCAGTAATAGACTTGCAATAAACTAGCTTGTTTAAAACTGAAACATTACTGCTGTTATTTTATCATTGGAATACCTGCAAACCTAAAACCAGTTGTACAAATTCACAGTTATGAACCACTGTGTGGACACACCTGATGTAGCTCTGACAGAACAGAAATCTGGATTGGAAGGACTGCTCCAGTGCAAAAATGCAAAGCTTTTGACCTTGCTGACCAAACTTGCAAGATTCTGTTTAAAGTGCATAAAAACAGAAATTGCTGGAAACGCTCAGCAGGTCTGGCAGCATCTCTGGAAAGAAATCACAGTTAACGCTTTGGATCAAGTGACCCTTCCTCAGAACTCGACCCGAAACATTAACTCTGATTTCTCTCCACAGATGCTGCCAGACCTGTTGAACTTTTCCAGCAATTTCTGTTTCTGATTTACAGCATCCATAGTTCTTTCGGTTTCTGTTTAAAGTGCCACTGTTGAATTCTTGCACATTGAATTAATCATAGAATCATAGAATTTTAAAGTATAGCAGGAGGCCATTCAACCCATTGTATCTGTACTGGCTCCCAAAACAGCTATCCAGCTCGTCCCATTCTCCAGCCTCATCTCCATAGTCCTTTAAATTCATCGCCCTTCAAATATATATCCAGCTCTCTTTTGAAACCTAAATGGAATCTGGCTCCACCACTCTCCCAGGCAGTATATTCCAAATCCTAACAACTCTGAGTAAAGAAATTTCTCCTAATGTTGCTCTCAGCTCTCCCGCTAACAACCCTGAAACTATGACCCCTTGTTACTGATATACAGTCGGTTCTGCTGTAACGCATGTTCCAGCAACGTGAATAGGCTATACTGCAACTGACAAACAGGGGAATGCTATTCCTAAAATGCGAACTCGTGTTGGCTATAACGCGATTCCATCAGTGCTCCTCATCCTGGATAATGTGCCAAGCCATGCCTCCCACAGTTGGTGAGCTTTCTGAAAACATCAAAGTGCTAGTTCTACCCCCAAACGCAACCTCTCTCCTTCAACCCATGGCCCAGCGTGCAATGGCAGCTTTTAAAGCTCATTATTTAAGAGGCTGATTGCAGCCGCTGAGGCGGATAAGAACAGTGTTCTTCAATTTTGGAAGAGCTCTAACATCAAGAATGCAATTGACATTATTGTGGAGACCTGGGGTGATGCAAGTAAGGGCTGCTTGCATGCAATTTGCTGGAAGCTTCTCCCAGATTTTTTTTTTTCAAAATTTTAAAGGGTTTGATCAGTTAGAGGACATTCCAAGAATCGAAGATTCTCGTTGATCTTGCAAAGCAAATGAAATTTGGAGAAGTGGAGAGTGAGGATGTTGAAGAGCTACTTGAGTCTCACTGTGAAGACTTCTCTACAGATGATATACAACAACTTGTCACTGAAGAAGTGGAAGCTGGAGGTAAAGAAGTAGTAGTCCAGGATGCAGCACCACGACAGCTTTCCACTTCTGTCCAGAGGGAAATTGAGAAGCAGTTGCAGCTCTTAGAGGACGTTGACTACAATGCAGAATGCAGCAGGGTAGTAGTTCACGGAATAAGATCTTATCTGGCACCCCACGAACAGCTTCTTCGTGATAGAAGAAAAAGGGCAAAGCAGCAAAAACTTGATGTCTTTTTTAAGCCAACTCTCAAGAAACAGTCAGAAGACAATGAACCACAGCCATCCACTTCTGGATTAACTATTTTCACCCGAACCCTGCAACTATAACTGCACCTGGAGTGGATGATGACGATAATGATGGTGATGATGATAGTGGTGACCTTCAGCTCCTGCATTAACAACAGAGCAACCTCGAAACCTCCTCCCCCATCATTCAAACTGTGCTATTCTTTGTGTTAGGCTTTTGAATGATTTTTAAATGATTTTGAGTGATTTTTTTGGTGGTCTGCCCCAACCCCACTTTTCCCATAGGCCCTGTTATTACTTTAGCATGATTTTCTATAATGCAATATTGTGTAGGAACACAACTATCTCGTTATAGCAGAACCAACTGTACCAACAAGTGAAAATGGAATATCCTTTTTTACCCTGACAAACTTGTTCACAATTCTGAACACCTCAATAAGATCTGCTCCAAGGAGGAAAATCCCAGTTTCTCTAATCCTTCCTTCTGTCTAAAATCCCTCATTCATTGAGTCATAGAGTAATACAGCATGGAAACAGGCCCTTCGGCCCAAACTGGTCCGTGCTGACCATTGTGACCACTCAGCTAGTTCCAACTGCCCACATTTGGTCCACATCCCTCGAAATCCTTCCCATCCATGTACCTATCTAAATGTTTTTTAAATGCTGCTGTTGTACCTGCCTCAACCACTTTCTCTGGCAGCCCATTCCATTTACGCACTCTCTGTGTGAAGTTGTTGTTCCTCAGGTCCTTTTTAAATCCTTCCCCCCTCACCTTAAATCTATGCCCTCTAGTTTTCAATTCCCCATCCCGGAGAAAAAGACTACATGCATTCATCCTATCCATGCCCCTCATGATTTGAGACACCTCATTTTATATACCTCATTCTTTGGTATCATTCCAGTAAATCTCTTTTGAACTCTCACTAGACTTTAAACATCCTTCCTAAGGTGCCCAGAACTGAACACAACACTCCAAATGTGGTCTGACCAATGATTTGTAGTGGTGTAGCATCAGTTCCCTTCTTTTATACTCTATTTATAAACCCAAGGATTCCTTAAGTCTTCTTAACAACTGTTTCAACTTGCCTGGCCACCTTCGGATAATCATGCATGTGAACTTTGAGGTTCCTCTGTTCCTGTACTCAACTCAAAGTTGAACCGTTAAGCTTGTGTTTCTCACAACAAAATGCATTACTTCAAATTTTGTTCCTCTGAAGTCGCTAATCGTCATCCTCGCAATTCAGCGATCTTCATATCTTAGTATCATCTACAAATTTAGAGATTTTTGCCCTCAACAATCACCTCTAGATAAATCAGAAAAGCAACAGTCCCTGAGGAACACCATTTTCAACCTGGCTCCAAACTAAGAAATGCCCATGTATATGTAAATATCCTCTGCTTTCTAATTTTTAGTCAACTTCTCATCCATGCTGCCAAGGATCCATTAATTCCAAACATTTCTAATTTGCTAACCAACTTGCACGTATCAAATGATTTCTGAAAGTCCAAATATACAACATTGACCAGGGCTGAAAGACTCCGCACAGTGGATCAGATCAAAGCTCTGCAGTCCTGTCACTTCGAATTGTGAATAGTCATGGACAATTAAAGAACTAATAGGAGTTGGAGGATCTACAAATATCTCCATCATTGACTGAGATCAACGTCAATGCAAATGGCAAAACTGAAGTATTTGCATTCAGCCTCAGCCAGGAATGCTAAGTGAATGATCCATCTCAGCCTCCTCCTCAGGTTGACAGCATCACAAATGTCAGTATTCAGCAATTTCAATTCATTCCATATCGTATCAACAAACAGCAGAAGGGAATGGATTCAATAAAGGCTAGGGGCCCTGACAACATTCTGGAAATAGTAGTGAAGAAATGTGCTCCAGATCTGGCAGCACCTAAGCCAAGATGCTGTAGTATAGCTATGACACTGACATCTACCTGACAACGTCGAAAATTAACTCCGTGTAGTCTGTCCACAAACTGCAGGACAAATCCAATCCAACCAATCAGTCTAATCTAAATCATGAGCAAAATGATGGATACATGGATGGATGCTCTCTAAGACTCTGTTTCCTCCAGGATCATTTGGCTCCTGACCTCATCAAAGTCTTGTTCCAAACTTGCGATAAAAATGTGCTAAACTCCAGGGGTGGTGAGAGTTACTATATTTAACATGAAGGCAGGTGTTATAGACTATGGCAACTCTTAGCAAATATGGAATTGAAGGGAATCAGAGAAAATCTTTCTACTGGTTGGAGTCATTCCTAACACACAGGTGGTTGTAATTGTTGGAGGTGAATCATATCAACCTCAGTACAAACCTGCAGTTCTTCAGGGTAGTGTCCCAGGCCCAAGCATCTTCAGCTGCTTCAATGACCTTCCCTCTATCGTAAGTTCAGAAGTGGGGATATTTGCTAATGACTGTACAATGTTCTTTACCATTTGAGACTCCTCAGATCCTCAAGCAGTCTGAGTTTATAAGCCACAAAACCTGGACAAGGTTTTGTCTCAGGCTTGAGGTGTTAAGTGGCAAGTGCCAAGCAACAGACATCTCCAACAAGGGAGAACATAACCACCACCCTTGAAATTTTCTAACTTGCAGCTTCCACAGCTTAGCATGCAACTATCATAGAATCCATACAGTGCAGAAGCAGGCCATTCAGCCCACTGAGTTCACACTGATCATCCAAAGAGCATCCCACCCACACCCACCCTGCATTTCCCATGGCCAATCCACCTAACCTGCACTTCCTGGACACCATGGGCAATTTAGCATGGTCAATCCACCTAGCCTGCACACCTTTGGACTGTGGGAAGAAACCGGAGTACCCAGAGGAAACCCACGCAGACATGGGGATAATGTGCAAACTCCACTCAGAGTTGCCCAAGGGTGGAATCGAACCCAAGTTCCTGGCGCTGTGAGGCAGCACTGCTAACCACTGAGGCACCGTGCTGTCCTATATTCCTGTTTTGTAGCTTCGCAAGGTTTTCACCTTATTTTTAGATATGCCTGGTAGTGCTTCTGACCTCCTTCAATCTTCGTTCAACCAAGGTCTGTTGCGACCGTACAGGACATTGGTGAGGTCACTTTTAGAATACTTCATAAATTCTGCTCACCCTTCTATAGGAAGGATATTATATATACACGCAGTTATACGACACAGAAAAAGACCCTTCGGTTCAACTCATCCGTGACAAACATTTATTCCTTCTCCATCATAACCCATGTCAGAAATTAGCATGTGTGAAACAATGGAAATCTTTCTACTATACCCCACTTTGGAAGCCTGGCAGTTGGCAGACCAGCATCTCATTGTGATTGCAGCTCACTAGGCCCCGACTCATCAGCAAGTTTCCCAAGCCATCAGTTCGCTTTGCCAGGAATGTGACCTTCAGCTCTCCGAGAATCAAGCAATCAATCTCTGGGAAAGCAAACAACAGACCAGATTATAGGCAAGGGCAGAGAGCTGGGAATGACCAGCAGCAAATCAATAACACTCGCTCATCCCACCAATCACCCCACAAACATCGCAACCAAACTATGTCAATCACACTCCCTCACAGAATCGGTAACACTACCCCTGCTGATCCTATCGATAACTGCCCAGCCTATCAATAACTTCCGTCACACCCACACAGTCAAACTCTCTCACATCGTCTGTGACACATCCCCAACCAATTTTTAACTTCCCTATCGTCTATTGTTGACATGATAACACCCCACGATCAGTCACGCACTGTCCCTTCACACAGGTTATTTTGAATTCTTTTAGAAAACTGTGGTCAATTCTGGTCTCCCTGCTATAAGAAGTATGTTGTCAAACTTGAGAGGGTGCAGAAAAGATTTACTAAGATGTTGCCAGGACTGGAGGGTTTGAATTATAGGCAGATTGAATAGGCTGGGACTTTTCTCCCTCCGGAATGTCGGAGCCTGAGGGGCGACCTTATAGAGATTTATAAAATCATGCGGGGCATAGATAGGGTGAATAACCAAGGTATTTTCCCAGGGTGGTGGAGTCCAAAGTGGGAGTGCACATTAAGGTGAGAGGAGAAAGATATAAAAAGGACCTGATGGGTAACATTTTCGCTAGAGGGTGGTGCATGTATTGAATGAGGTGCCAGAGGAGGTGATGGACAGTATTATTACAACAACATTTAAAAGGCATCTCGATGAGTATATGAATAGGAGGTTTAGAAGGTTATGGGCCAAATGCTGGTGAATGGGTCTAGGTCAGATCAAGATGTCTGTGTCTGTTTCCGTGCTGTATAACTCTGACTCGTGGGAGACTCTAGGACCAGAGGGCACAGTCTCAGAATAAAAGCATGCCAATTTAAGACTGAGATGAGGAGGAATTTGTTCTCTCAGAGGGCTGAGTGTCTTTGGAACTCCCTGTCACAGAGGGCTGTGGGTCAGAATTCTTGTGCATGTTTAAGGCTGTGATGTGGAGATGCCAGCGTTGGACTGCGATGGACGAGGTCAAAAATCACACAACACCAGGTTATAGACTAACAGGTTTATTTGAAAATGCAAGCTTTCGAAGCCCCGCTTCGAAACCAGATCAGGATGCTGCTTGACTAATCGCTTCTTCCTCAGGCATAGCATAAGGAAGAGGGTATAAGACACAGAATTTAAAGGCAGAAAGGTAACAACCCCAAAAACAACACCAAAATTAGCGCCCTCTTGTTGAATCTTTAATCAGTTCGGAAGGAGACTATGATCATCGGACAGGGGTATTACCTCCCAGTGGGGGATCACTTCAGGGGTCAAGGATATTCAGCTTCTGATCTTCGGGTAAGTGTCCTCCAAGGTGGACACAATGACGCAAAGAAAATCGCTGAGCATTGTCCCGAGATAATTAGAGGTTTTATCAATATAAACAAGAGGTGACATCTCAGATTAGACATTACATTGCACATGTCAGGTCTTGCTTAGAATCTATGTTTTAAACTGGGGTCAGGTTTTTTTTTTGAGCAAAATAGAATGTATCCATAACTACACAAACATTTTGGATGAAATAAGTCATGTTTGTGTGTGTGGGGGTGTGTGTGTGGGCGCACGCGCCTGTGTGTGTGCATGTCTGTGCTGTCGTGCCTGTCAGTGTGCTGTGCATGTGTGTGAGAAAGAGTGAGTGAGTGTGCGTGTGTGCTAGAGAGAGTGAGAGTGTGAGGGAGTGTGTGTGTGTAGGTGTGAGTGTGAGAAAGAGAGAGGGTCTGTGTGAGTATGCAAATGTGTGTGTATCTATGTGTGCGCATACGCGCATATAGCGTGGTGGGGTCACCTGTAATGCGACATGCACCCGAGATCACAATTGAGGCCGTCCTCATGGCTATGGAACTTGGCTATCAGCCTCTGCCCAGCGATTTTGCATCATTGTGTATCTCGAAGTCCACCTTGGAGGACGCTTACCCGAAAATCGGAGGGTGAATATCCTTGGCCCCCTGAAATGATCCCCCGCTGGGAGGGAACACCCCTGTCCACTGATCATTGCATGGTGTCCATTTATCCATTGTCATAGCATCTGCATGGTTTCGCCAAAATACCGTGCCTCGGGGCATCCTTGCCTGCATTATGAGGTAGACAACATTGGTCGAGTCACACACACCCACACCCACACACACACACACACACACACACACACAGACACGCGAATTATTTCATCTAAGGTGTTTGTGTAGTTGCAGATACACTCTGTTTTGCTCAAAAAAACCTGACCCCAGTTTAAAGCATAGACAGTTTCTAAGCAAGACCTGACAGCTAAAATGCAATGTCTAATCTGAGATATCACGTCTTGTATACATTGATAAAACCTTTAAACATCTCGGGACAATGTCTTGAAAGAAATCTAGATTTTGCATTTCAATCAATCAGTCTCCTTTCTAACTGATTAAAGATTCAACAAGAGGGGGCCAGTTTTAGTTACCTTTCTGCTTATAAATTCTGTGTCTTACACCCTCTCTCTCACGCCATGCCTGAGGAAGGAGCGGAGCTGTGAAAGCTTGTGTTTTCAAATAAACCTGTCGGACTATAACCTGGTGTTGTGTGATTTTTGACCTATGTTTAAGGCTGAATACATTCTTGATAGAATCAAGAGTTATGGGAAAGGGCAGGAAAGTGGATGTAAGAATATTTGATAAGCCACGTGCAATGAATGGTGGAGCAGGTTCAAGAGGCTGACCGGCCTACTCTTGTTCCTATTTCTTATGGTCTTATGTACTTTCTCTGCATAACTCGGCAATTTTCCTTCCTACAAGTGTTGATCCATTTTGCCCTCCAAGGTTATTATACTTTTTCACACAAAGTCACTAGTGTCACTGAAAATGAGCCCAAAGTACAAGGAGTCAAGACTGAAAAATCAAGGTAAAAGAACTGCAGAAATGAAGGAGCAAGATTAGTCAAGCAGCATCCTGATCTGGTTTCATGAGAGAGAAACTGGAATGGTTACTAACCTCCTTGTGTCAATTGTAAAGCATGGAGGGCTGCCACTGCCCTGACCTGGGGCTGAGGGTTGCTGTTAATCAGCTTTACCAGTGTTGTACTGGCCAGAAGTCGGCTGTCTGTGTGTGAACTCTGCAACAGCAAACAACATAGTGAGGAAAACAGACAACCTGTATTATTCCACTATCGCAACCAATCACCCCTCCAGCATGCCCCTCAATCATGCCACTTGGCACTTGGCTTCACTCAATTTTCTGATCCATGCGGAACCCCAACAGCACCGATTTCTCAAAAGCTCATACCATAGGCTGTTTCCTTCTTTGTCAAGACCACCATATCCCTTCATTGACTCATTCTCTATAACGGCTCCATCTGCCCAAATCAGGTTCCCGTTCCTAACAGGAAACAATGGAAAGTTCTTCCAACCAACTCCTCCTTCATGCAATCTTCCTTCTCCCCTTAATTTTGTCAATGCTCAGTGATCCTCTGTATGTTCCACCTAGATTCCAGAACCTACTTTATACACATCCCCTCTTTCCTGTGTCACCTGCACTGATATGAAGATTTATTCCTCTCTCTCCAGCTTCCCTGCAAGATGGAAACTGGCAGCCGACATTTCCTTCTCCTCCTGCTTTAAAACTCAAAGCTTGACTGCATCTCAGTGCCTTCTCTACATTATCTGACCAGGTTATGGTTCAGTACCAGAAGTGGATATCACCAGGAGAGCATATGCCCAAACCGAGCCTCACAGACTGCCAAGGAATTAGTTCTGCCCTGCTCCCCAGTATCACTCTGCCCTTTCCAATCTTGACACCAGATTCTGTCTCCTTCTACCTTCTCACTGTTTTGGAAGGGCAGGGGCATTTGTCTCTCTCATCCACTGAAACCTCTGAAGGAAAATATGAGTCAATCTCTTTTATCAACTGAATCCTATTTCTATGTCCAAGCCAAAAGCTAGACTCCAATCCAGAGGGATCAAAATGGCCCCCAGTCTTCTGAACGCAGAGCTGGGATGTATCTGCAAACACATCATAACCTTGACGGTTGACTCACCTGGCTCACAATGGCTTGGAACAGAAATCCAACAATCCTTTGCAGAGCTTCTTTTCCACACTCTGCCCTCCATACAATGGCTCCAATACTTTTGGGCATAGCCTGGAAGATCTGAAGACATATCTAGGAAGCCAGAATGGGTGATCAGAAATTTATAAACAAAGAGTCAAGTGCTCCTGACAATATTCAGTTTATGGTTATTCTGACTGATGTCTCCCATTATAACTATTATAAAAAATACACTTCATTTGTAAAATATCTAAGAGTACACTCCAATATATTTCAAATTGGACTTTATAAAAAATACAATAAGTTATAACTCTTCTCCATTAAGCACAATGGATTCTTGTATGCCTCAATCCAATTGCAATCCTTGCTATGTTCAATGACAAGCATACAGCGGAGTTCTACAAGTTACCAGCCCCTTGACAGCAACTTTTCCCCACTGTGTATCAGTGGTGGCTGTCGCAAGCTTTAGCTCACCCCTCAGTATGTAGTGCTGGATCTTGGAATGGGCCTATGTGCAATACTTGGTTGAGAACAACTCTTTGCACTGGAAGGCCAACAAGTTTCAGGCAGACCAAACTGCACCTTTCACCAACGTAATAATCCTCAAGGTGTAGTTGATGTTTCTTCTGGTGTGCGTCCCTGTGAACAACCCGTAGAATATGCCTCTGTGTCACAGAGCTGCTCAGGATGAACTCGACAGAAACCAGTGGATTCATCTCCAGTCCTTCTTAGCAAAGGCACTTTTCTGGAATGAGATGTGTGACAGTCTCTTCAACACCGCTGCTGTCTCAGTTATCTCTTTTCCCTTCAGGGCATCAAGGACATTGCATGCTAACTACCACCTGATAGGCTTGAGGTCAAATATATTTTTCTGTACAAACTTTTCAATGACACACAGATGGGAAGGCACGGCCCAACTACTTGCTGCCCTTTGAGTCTGCTCAGTCATTCAATAGATCACGGGTAATCTGTTTGTTTTGAATTCTATATTCCTATCTATCCCTAATATCTATCCCTTGATTCCCTTGCTTAACAGGAATGTCTTTCTCTGCCTTTAAAATATTTAATGATCCCACCTCCGCTGCTGACCAAGGCAGAGAGTTCCAAAGTTGCACAATGCTCAGTAAAAAATAATTCTCCTCAGCTCTGTCCCAAAAGGGCAATGCTAATTTTTAAACGATACCCCTAGTTCTGGATGCAGGAATAGGAAACATCCTTCTAATATCATGACCATTGAAGATCTTACACACTACATTAAATCACCCCCCACTCTTCTCAACTCCAGCGAAAACAAGTTCAGCCTATCCAACCCATCAAAAGACTAAGTCAAGCCACTTATTCCAGTTATTAATCTAGTAAACCTCCTCTGAACTGTCTCCAATGCATTTACATCTTTGTTTAAATAAGGAGACCAAAACTGCACATATATAATGCCTTGTACAACGGAAGCATAACATGTTTACCTTTATGTCCAATTCCTCTTGTAATAAAGGATAGCTTTCTATTAGCTTTCCTAACTATTTGCTGAACATTCATACTAACTTGTTGTGACATAACATAACACCTAGGTCACTCTACATCTGCAGTTGTTCTCTGCTTTTCAATTATTATTAATTATTCCCGCCAAAACGAACAACTCATACTTTTCCATCTAGCAGATTTTCATCCACTCACTCAACCTTATCTTAGAAGATACAGTGTTGGAGTTAAAAATGATATTTGGACATGACAATGAGCAAGCGAAGCAAAGTGGGAAAATATATGAAAATAGGCTGCTGTAATTAACAAAACTGTTTTAGCCAGCGGTAACTGTATAACTTGGATTATCTGTAGGAACCATTCTTTTACGTAGTTGACACAGAGCCACCTGGAGTGTCTGGAAAAGTGCTTAAAGTATTACGAAATGACAATGTAACCAGAACAGTCCCAGTCGTTGGACTTTCAACATCAGAATGTGTTCATGGGACCAGGGCCATGGACTTTCCCTATCGCATTAGACCAGTGACATAGAATCTTAGGTAGAACTCCAAATGCCAGCTGTTCAAAGTCCCTGGCATGAAGACAAGGCAGTGGGACTCACTAGGCTGTATAGGTATGAAGTAGCTTAAGATTCACTCATTAGTTTGTATAAATATGAAGTAGATTAAGCTACTAAATTAGCTACGTATTGAAATGCATGTGTCTTTTTGCAATCATTTTGATCATTTTAAAGATCCCATTAGGTACTTTCAGCCTAACAATACAGAAGAGTTGTCAAATGAGGCTTTGTGGTAAAGCTCAGGAATAAAAAAAAGGGGCAGTCAAGCAACTGGGTGTGTTTTATAGGCTCCCAAATAGTCAGCAGGCAATAGAGAAGCAATATGTAAACAATTCACTGAGGTGTGCAAAAATAACAATAAGGTGATTATATTAGGGGATTTCAACTACCCCAACATATATTGGGATAATCATGGTATAAAGGGTTTAGAGGATACAGGTTTCTTGAATTGTGTTCAGGAGACCTTTTTATATGAACATGTATACGGTCCTACAATAAATGCTGCAGTGCTGGACCTAGCTCTGGGGACTGAAGCCAGACAGGTGTTTGAAGGGGTTTGAGGGTGCATTTTACTAATAGCGAGCACAGCACCATAGTTTTAAGTTTCTTGTGTTAAAGGAAAAGGATGTTCTGCAAAAAAAAAAGGATTTTGGATTGGGGCAAGGCAGTTTTTATTAAAATGAAACAGAATCATGGTGGACTGCAAACAGCTATTTGAGGGTAAATCTAGAGCAGAACAGTGGGAGGTGTTCAAAAAAGGTACTGGGCAGAGTACAGGAGCAACATGTTCCCTTTAGGGTGAGATGTAGGAGCAACAAGCCTAGAAAATCTTTGACATCTAAGAATATTCAGGATCAGTTAAAAAGAAAAAGACAGATGTATAACAGCCAGAAAGGTAGCAAATCAATAGAGGCCTTGGTGGAGCATTTAAAGTACCAGGGGAATATTAAGAAAGCAAAAAGCAGACCAAAGAGGGGGGTATGAAAAACAAACGAGCAGATAAAATTAAGAGAATCACAGGATATTCTGTAAGTATACCAAGAGGAACAGAATAACCAAAGAAAGAGTAAGGCCCAATAGGGACCAAGGGAGAAAATCTGTTTGTGCAGCCGAAAGACATTGGTAGAGTGACAAATGAATACTTCACATCTGTCTTTACTCAGGAGAAAGAGGATGTAGGTATAGAATTCAAGATGATGATGGACTGTGAAGTTCTTGAGCAGTTCAGTATCGAGAGTGAGGAGGTATTGGAAGTTTTGGCAGGTTTAAAAGTGGACAAATCCCTAGGTCCAAATGACTTGTATTCCAGATTGCTGTGGGAGATGAGGGAGAAAATCATAGGGTCCCTGACCCAATTTTTTAATTCCTCTTTGGCCACAGGTGAGGTACCAGAGGACTAGAGGACAGCAAATATATTTCCACTTTTCAAGAATCAGGATTGGGAACTAAATATCCAAGGATATACATCCTATTGAAAAGATAGGCAGGTGGGCCGAGGGGGTGGGGTTGCCTTCTTAGTGAGAAATTAAATTAAATCAATAGGAAGAAACAAAGTAGGGTCAGATGGTGTAGAATCTGCGTGGGTAGAATTGATGAATCACAAAGGTAAAAAAAAAAACATATTTGGGGTTGTGTACAGGCCTGTGTACAGGTTGTGTACAAACAGTAGTCAGGAGCTGGGGCGCAAGATACACCAGGAGATAGAAAAGGTGTGTAAGAAAGGCAAAGTCACAGTGATCATGGGGGATTTCAATATGCAGGTGGACTGGGAAAATCAGGTTGGTAGTGGATTGCTGGAAAAGGAGTTTGTGGAATGTCTACGAGATGGCTTTTTGGAGCAGCTCATGGTGGAGACCACAAGGGAACAGGCAATACTGGATTTAGCGTTGTCCAATGAGGCAAACTTGATAAGGGAGTTTAAGGTAAAGGAACCCTTAGGAGGCAGTGATCATAAGATGATAGAATTTACTCTGCAATTTGAGAGGGAGAAGATAGAATCAGAGGTAACGGTATTACAGCTGAATAAAGGTGACTACAGAGGTATGAAGGAGGAGCTGGGCAGAATTGACTGGAAGAGCAGCTTAGCGGGAAAGACAGTGGAACAGCAATGGCAGGAGTTTCTGGGAGTAATTCAGGAGACGCAGCAAAAATTCATCCCTAGGATAAAGAAGCATGGTACAGGGAGGATGAGGCAACCACAGATGACTAAGGAAGTCAGGGATAGCATAAAAGCAAACGAGAAAGCATAGAATGTGGCGAAAGGCAGTGGGAAACCAGAGGACTGGGAAGCTTACAAAGACCAACAGAGGGCAACAAAAAAAGAACTAAGGAGGGAGAAGATTAAATATGAGGGTAAGCTAGCCAGTAAAATAAATGAAGACTGTAAAAGTTCCTTTAGGTACATAAAGGGCAAAAGAGAGACAAAAGTGGACATTGGACCACTGGAAAATGACGCTAGAAAGAACGTCGTGGGGAACCAGGAAACAGCTGAAGAACTAAATAATTACTTCGCATCAGTCTTCACGGTGGAAGACACGGGTAATATCCCAAAAATTCAAGACAGTCAGGGGGCAGAGCTGAGTATGGTGGCCATCACCAAGGAAAAGGTGCTAGTAAAACTGATTGGCCTGAAGGTGGACAAATCACCTGGACCAGATGGACTACACCCAGAGTTCTAAAGGAGATAGCTGAAAAGATAGTGGAAGCATTAGTGGTGATCTTTCAGGAATCACTAGAGTCAGGGAGGGTCCCAGAGGACTGGAAAATCGCTAATGTGGCACCCCTGTTTAAAAAAGGAAGTAAGGCAAAAGATGGAAAATTACAGGCCAATTTGCCTAACCGCAGTCGTGGGCAAGATTTTGGAGTCCATTGTAAAGGATGAGATTTCTGAATATTTGGAAGTGTGTACTAAAATAGCGCAAAGTCAGCATGGTTTCGTCAAGGGGAGGTCATGCCTGACAAATCTGCTAGAATTCTTTGAGGGAGTAACGAGCAGGGTAGACAAAGGAGAGCCAATGGATGTTATCTACCTGGACTTCAAGAAGGCCTTTGATAAGGTGCCACACAGGAGGCTGCT